TATCATGTGGGGAAACAGATTACTGAAAAACTGCAACTTAAAAAACTTCGTAGCATTAACACCAAAACAACTTTATTTAAAGGTCATTAGTGCACATTTGATCAAATATTAGTAGTTATATGCTTTGACTCTTTCTCAATTTTTAGTAAATTTCATTTCTTGGTTCTGAATTATTTGAGTGGTTATTCACTGCCAGAAAATAATTTTTCTTTAGTTTTTTTAGCCTTATGTATTAAAATTTGACACATTATATGATATAGTGTTAGTGTATTAAAGTGTATCGCAAATTTGTTTTTGAAGGAGAGCATGTAGGTTTTCTACACATGCCAAGAAAAAGTGTGCTTTCTTTTCTTTTATGTGTTTGTGAACATTTAATGAAAATGATCTCTTTCAGTAATGTATATAAATTCTGTAGTAGAAGTTTAATGTAAACTTGCACATATTACTACTGTTTATATGACTTTATTGTGAACAGATTGTACATACTCCTTTTCTGAACTTCACTTGTAGCTTTATTGCCTCTGATTTTTTAGTGTCTATGTAATGTAACAATTATTTATTATTATTAATTATTTATTTTTATACATTTACTACGTTATAAAGAAAGTTATATGTAATTATGATTAGATGCCATTAGATGTTATTTATTTGGAAAGTGCAAGTTTTTTTAGTCATATTCAGTATTATATATGCATTGTGATTGAAATAAAATTCCTTAAACTTATAGCTATCTTGGAGTTAATTACAATAAAAAGTTTTTCTTGTATAAAATTTATATTTTACGATACTAAATTCGCCAAGAATCGTTCTACATTTGAATCTATCACTGAACTTTTTGTATTTTTAATTTCAGATTATTATTAATTTAGTTTGTTCCAGTTTTTTTTTTATTTTATTTTAAATTTTGTAGACGCCGATGGACATATTACAAAATATTATTCTACAGCATGAAAATTATCCTGTTAAATTTAAAAATAAAGTGTCCTATCTAAAGTTTCAAACGGTTTCAATAACCCATCGAAAAAAAAAAAAGGGGAAATGCATAAGGTTTACGCGTAAAAAGGCACCAAAAGACAATAAGCAGGTAATTTTAAATGACAAATAAACAAAATAAACTTTACTGTTAGCTTTGAAGCAGGTGTTATATATTAAACTATCTTAATTCACACACAGAATTAGTGACATAACAGATCAAAAAAGAGTAAGAATCAAACTCGCAATATTGACATTAAAGAGACATTAAATATATACATATATACTTTTTTTTTTTTTTTTAGAAAGGGCTCAAAAACACCATTCTAAAAACAGATTTCGAAAAACATCTTGGAAACAAAAGTCATAAACCATAAAAGAAATATTTCATTCAGAATTTTAACGTAAGAACCATTTCTAATTTTAAGTTCTTTACTTAGGTACACTCATCCATGAGAGAGGACAGCTTAGTCCAATGTACAAGAAATTATCCTGAAATATTACCACGTCACTTTAATGAAATTATAGCAATATTTCACTCAGGGAAAGAACATATTATCTAGCTGCCCGGGTTCGAGCCCAGCTTTAATACAGCAAGCCAAAACACATCAAATGCCATTGAATGATACAGCATTTTGAAATGTTGCAAAAAAATTTAAATAAAATTTCGTGAAAGAGATATTGCAATTACCTATATACTAAAATTTTGACCAAAAATTCAAGAAAACTAAGATACTCTTTTTTTCTTTCGAAGGAATCAAAGTCATATACTAATGTAGGGATGCTCAACTTATTGTACTATAAAACCTAAACATAGGAATGAAATTTTGTCAGCTATGTGAGATGTCCAATACCGAGAAATTCCGTAAATTGTAGAATAGAACCACCGTCTGAAAACACACGAAAGGTAAAACACAATTCAAATACTTTACTTTTAGCCTTGAAGCAGGTGTTCTATATTAAACTGTCTTAATTCACATACAGAATTAGTAATATAATAGCTCAAAATATTGTAAGAACCAAACACGCATTATATAAACATAAAAAAAAAATCTACATACATTTATTAGTGTTACGAGGGTTTATTCTGAAATATTATAATGTCACTTTCAGTGAAATGATAGAAATTTTCACTCAGGGAAGGGACATTCTGTCTGGCTGCCTGGGTTCCATCCCAGCTTCTGTTACAAAAGTTTCATAGAAGAATTTTAAAAATCCAGAAACGAAACTTATGAAGAAATTATTGAACCATAATTGGTTCTATGATTTAGTCATTCTTACAGACATAATAACTAAAATCTTAAACTTGAGGGGGGGGGGAGAGAACTAAACTAAGTCTTTGAATTCAAGGGTATTTTAAATTCATTTTAAATCAAAATTAATTTTGTAAAAATATTACACAAATATAAGGAATATACATTTTTACCATAATGCAATGTACATTTTGCCACTTTGAAAATCTGGAGAACTAAAGCGTGAAATATAAGAAAACTGAAACAAACATTTGGAAAATCTCATCGAGCTTAAATTAGTTTCTAAATTAGATGTTTTGAGTGTATTTAAAATTAGGCCAACTACTTCATTCACTTCAAACCCATTACATAATACTAGTATTTAAGAAAAATGGTAAAAGATTGCAAATATGTTAAATAACAATTCTACTGATCTAGAAATGGAAATAACTGATTTTCATCCTAATTAAGATCAAGAATATCACAAAAAGCCATTTGAATAGTCCTAGATCAGAAAAATCATGAACTGTTAAACTTTTAAAAAGATAAATTCCTGCTTTCGATCTACTTAAAAATGTGAAAGAGGATTTTCAACAACAAACTTGTTAAAATCAATGTTCAGATACAGAATAACAAACAAACATCCGGACGACTGCATGGATTTAGCCATAACATCGCATGTACCAGAGGAGGAAAAAAAAAAACTCTCAGAAGAAATGCAATGTTAAATTTCACATTAAAATATGATTTCCCTGTATTTAATTTTCATCTTGCTGAATTTTTTGTAAATAATACAAAGAGTATACCTTTTCTTTAACATATTATACCACACATTTTTATACTTTGTGTAATGCACTCATAACTGAAATATTAAAAGTGCAATATATAATTGCAGCTAGCCAAAATTTTATAAACTTAAAATTGGCTCCCATTAAGTTAAAGTTGTTAATAACTGCACCAAGGGAAGGAATGCAATTTTATTTCTTTGTCTGTATTTGGTTTCATTTTCATATAGAAAGAGTTAAAAATAGGTTACCTAGGTAACAAAATTTAAACACACATTTTCAGTAAAAATTACAGAATAACAGATTTTGTTTCCCTGAAGACACAACACCTCGCTATTCCAGCTATGATACAGACTGCATACTGTCATAGAGAAATTCCTTTCTTAAACAGGGAATTCATATACTTTAATCTGTTTTTACACAAGTACTGTTATTATAGACTAATCCATGGTCCATAGGTATAGTAATCATACTTTTTATAGTTTTATACCTTAAGTAAAGCGTGATTTCAGCGTGATTCGCGTATAGCAGTACCTTAAAGGATCCCATTTAATTTGTCCACTGCTAGAATTTCATTCATACGTGCTGCAGCATTCAATCATCAACACCGGAAAGAATTTATCTGCTACTTTAAACAATTTCCATCGACTGAAAATGAAGTCCAAAAAATCTTACAAATCTCAAAAGCAAACGATGCCGTAGAATTTTCACACATGGAAGACAGAGAAGTTAAACAATGAATCAGAAAATTACAAAAGAAGAATTGGGATCTTATAAAACCCCTTGATAATAAAAGCGCTCATTATGAAGAAGAGCTTTTAACTGAAGATAAGATGAAGGAATTGTTAAATAACACAAAAGCAACGTCTGATCTTCTAGCGGAGAATGACCCAATTAAAGAAAAAACAGGACACTTTAAAACAGCTACTGGGAAACATGTGCTCTTTACAGCGACACGCATACAGTTGCATCAGTCATTCTTATAAGCAAAAGACATCAGCTTTTTCAAAAAATAATTCTGTCATGCATTTGCCAAGAGAACGGAAAGAAGTCCAAAAGAAACTTTCAGAGTGCTTTGCAAAACAAAGTTGAAAGTTAATCTGCAGAATTTTACTTCGATAATAATAAAACATCTCTGATTTGATTTCAAAATGAATTTTTATTTGTGAAATCAATTTTAAATAGATCTTCGCAAATTGGTTCATAAAACTTCACAATATGCCAAAATAGTTCAGATTAAGGGAAAAATATAATAAAGTATATGCTTAAAACAACTAATAAAAAGCACATTTTGAGCAGCCTTAACAGAAGACAATTTGGTCTCACTAACTTTCTTTACGAGTACTCATTAAATTTTTATTTACATTTCTTTTTTGTTCAACATTTAACTTTCAATGGTTTTAAGAGAAACAGCACTTGATAGAGAGACTCTAAATTCGGAAAAAACTGAAACAAAATTGGTTTATACACAGGCAGTGCAATTACACTGACCTGTTGGGAAGAGAAGACCCCGTTGGACAAGGAAAATATTAGGCCACACAGAGAGGAAAATGTTTAGCCTCCTCCTCGTAATGCGAAAGGAGGCCACTTGGGAAAAAATTACACTACAGCAGTAATTTTGAAACCACTAAGAAGCAACAGAACTCTAACAAATCTCAGACTTCTGATAATTATAGTGTGATTAACAGTTCAACCTCACTTCGAATATTACAATACAATATAAAGAAAGAACCAATTCAGACACTTCAATATGGAATTCAAAACCTAAGAAATTAATGCATAAATGCTACCCTAAACATTAAAACATAATGTGAAGCGTTCATGTAAAATAAATAAGTAGTAAAACTCCAATATAAAGCAACATGTGAAAAGGGAAAGGGACTACAAATTATAACATTAACATTCAAGCATTTCTAGTGGAAATAAAGTTAATATAAAACAAGAATTACCAGCCACAGATGTCTTTTTGCTCTGCACTATTTCTCCATTCTTTTCATTCGTTCTTTTTCTTTGATATCATGTTCTGCAATCCAAGAGTGCACAAAAATGATGACAAATTACACTAGAAGAGGCCAAGGATGGGGAAAAAGGAATCATTAGATTTTAACTACTTTGAAATTAAAGAATATAAAGAATAATTATACACAAAGAGAAATATCTAATATTGTTTCTTAATATATAAAACTTCAAAAGTAGCCTTCTTTGTTTTAAATTCCAGCAATGTGCTACATTGTTACTAAAATCATGACTGCAGTTGATAGAAAAGCAAATGATTTTCCTAATACGACAGAAGTACAGTAAGCGAAAGGGGTTTTTAATGTATGGCTACAACATGAACAATAAAAGAAAAAAAATTAGACAGTTATTACGGATACACAGAATAAAAGGGATAATGATCTTCGAGAAAAGTAAATAATTTCAGCGCTGGTAAAAAGATGGCACCAAAAGACAATAAGCAGGTAATTTTAAATGACAAATAAACAAAATAAACTTTACTGTTAGCTTTGAAGCAGGTGTTATATATTAAAACTATCTTAATTCACACACAGAATTAGTGACATAACAGATCAAAAAAGAGTAAGAATCAAACTCGCAATATATTAACATTAAAAGAGCTATACATATATACTTTTATAGATTTTTTTTTTTTTTTTAGAAAGGGCTCAAAAACACCATTCTAAAAACAGATTTCGAAAAAACATCTTGGAAACAAAAGTCATAAACCATAAAAGAAATATTTCATTCAGAATTTTAACGTAAGAAACCGTTTCTAATTTTAAGTTCTTTACTTAGGTACACTCATCCATGAGAGAGGACAGCTTAGTCCAATGTACAAGAAATTATCCTGAAATATTACCACGTCACTTTAATGAAATTATAGCAATATTTCACTCAGGGAAAAGAACATATTGTCTAGCTGCCCGGGTTCGAGCCCAGCTTTAATACAGCAAGCCAAAAACACATCAAATGCCATTGAATGATACAGCATTTTGAAATGTTGCAAAAAATTTAAATAACAATTTTGTGGAAAGAGCTATTGCAATTACCTACATACTAAAATTTTGACCAAAAATTCAAGAAAACTAAGATACTCTTTTTTTCTTTCGAAGGAATCAAAGTCATATACTAATGTAGGGATGCTCAACTTATTGTACTATAAAACCTAAACATAGGAATGAAATTTTGTCAGCTATGTGAGATGTCCAATACCGAGAAATTCCGTAAATTGTAGAATAGAACCTACGTCTGAAAACACACGAAAGGTAAAACATAATTCAAATACTTTACTTTTAGCCTTGAAGCAGGTGTTCTATATTAAACTGTCTTAATTCACATACAGAATTAGTAATATAATAGCTCAAAATATTGTAAGAACCAAACACGCATTATATAAACATTAAAAAAAAATCTATATACATTTATTAGTGTTACGAGGGTTTATTCTGAAATATTATAATGTCACTTTCAAGTGAAATGATAGAAATTTTCACTCAGGGAAGGGACATTCTGTCTGTCTGCCTGGGTTCCATCCCAGCTTCTGTTACAAAAGTTTCATAGAAGAATTTTAAAAATCCAGAAACGAAACTTATGAAGAAATTATTGAACCATAATCCTGGTTCTATGATTTAGTCATTCTTACAGACATAATAACTAAATCTTAAACTTGAGGGGGGGGGGAGAGAACTAAACTAAAGTCTTTGAATTAAAGGGTATTTATAAATTCATTTTAAATCAAATTAATTTTGTAAAAATATTACACAAATATAAGGAATATACATTTTTACCATAATGTAATGTACGTTTTGCCACTTTGAAAATCTGGAGAACTAAAGCGTGAAATATAAGAAAACTGAAACAAACATTTGGAAAATCTCATCGAGCTTAAATTAGTTTCTAAATTAGATGTTTTGAGTGTATTTAAAATTAGGCCAACTACTTCATTCACTTCAAACCCATTACATAATACTAGTATTTAAGAAAAATGGTAAAAGATTGCAAATTTTTTAATTACGGTTGCCAAAAAAAAAAAACTTTTATAAAAGAACTTGAAAATTCAAATAGAATTTGAAAACTAAATGAAAATCTAAAACAAAAAAGAAACAAAAACAAAAAAATAAATTGAAACTGAAAATCTTTAAACAAAATTGGAAAAGCAATCAATTCAAAAGAGCTTCTAAATTAAATTTAATTCTTTAAATTTAAATCAAAGTTATTAAATTGTTTTGAGTGTTATTAAAATTTTTACAAATTAGGTATTTCCAACTACTTAACAACTCACTTAAGCACTTAAACAACTTACTAAGACATTACTTTTTTTTTTGTAAAGATACACTTTAGACATAAGTTTATTTCAAAATTACGGAATTTTAAATGCATGCAAATTTAAATATGAATAATAAAATAATGTTAAATTTTACTGTATTAAAATTCTACTGATCTAGAAATGGAAATAACTGACTTTCATCCTAATTAAGATCAAGAATATCACAAAAAGCCATTTGAATAGTCCTAGATCAGAAAAATCATGAACTGTTAAACTTTTAAAAAGATAAATTCCTGCTTTCGATCTACTTAAAAATGTGAAAGAGGATTTTCAACAACGAACTTGTTAAAATCAATGTTCAGATACAGAATAACAAACAAACATCCGGACGACTGCATGGATTTAGCCATAACATCGCATGTACCAGAGGGAGGAAAAAAAAACTCTCAGAAGAAATGCAAGTGTTAAATTTCACATTAAAATATGATTTCCCTGTATTTAATTTTCATCTTGCTGAATTTTTTTGTAAATAATACAAAGAGTATACCTTTTCTTTAACATATTATACCACACATTTTTATACTTTGTGTAATGCACTTATAACTGAAATATTAAAAGTGCAATATATAATTGCAGCTAGCCAAAATTTTATAAACTTAAAATTGGCTCCCATTAAGTTAAAGTTGTGAATAATTGCACCAGGGAAGGAATGCAATTTTATTTCTTTGTCTGTATTTTGGTTTCGTTTTCATATAAAAAGAGTTAAAAATAGGTTATCTAGGTAACAAATTTAAAGAAAATATGCACTCATTATGACGAAGAGCTTTTAACTGAAGATAAGATGAAGGAATTGTTAAATAACAGAAAAGCAATGTCTGATCTTCTAGCGGAGAATGACCCAATTAAAGAAAAAAACAGGACACTTTAAAACAGCTACTGGGAAACATGTGCTCTTTACAGCGACACGCATACAGTTGCATCAGTCATTCTTATAAGCAAAGGACATCAGCTTTTTCAAAAAATAATTCTGTCATGCATTTGCCAAGAGAACGGAAAGAAGTCCAAAAGAAACTTTCAGAGTGCTTTGCAAAACAAAGTTGAAAGTTAATCTGCAGAATTTTACTTCGATAATAATAAAACATCTCTGATTTGATTTCAAAATGAATTTTTATTTGTGGAATCAATTTTAAATAGATCTTCGCAAATTGGTTCATAAAACTTCACAATATGCCAAAATAGTTCAGATTAAGGGAAAAAAAAAAATATAATAAAGTATGCTTAAAACAACTAAGAAAAAGCACATTTTGAGCAGCCTTAACAGAAGACAATTTGGCCTCCACTAACTTTCTTTACGAGTACTCATTAAATTTTTATTTACATTTCTTTTTTGTTCAACATTTAACTTTCAATGGTTTTAAGAGAAACAGCACTTGATAGAGAGACTCTAAATTCGGAAAAAAAAAACTGAAACAAAATTGGTTTATACACAGGCAGAGTAATTACACTGACCTGTTGGGAAGAGAAGACCCCGTTGGACAGGAAAATATTAGGCCACACAGAGAGGAAAATGTTTAGCCTCCTCCTCGTAATGCAAAAGGAGGCCACTTGGGAAAAAAAAAAATTACACTACAGCAGTAATTTTGAAACCACTAAGAAGCAACAGAACTCTAACAAATCTCAGACTTCTGATAATTATAGTGTGATTAACAGTTCAACCTCACTTCGAATATTACAATACAATATAAAGAAAGAACCAATTCAGACACTTCAATATGGAATTCAAAACCTAAGAAATTAATGCATAAATGCTACCCTAAACATTAAAACATAATGTGAAGCGTTCATGTAAAATAAATAACTAGTAAAACTCCAATATAAAGCAACATGTGAAAAGGGACCTACAAATTATAACATTCAAGCATTTCTAGTGAAAATAAAGTTAATATAAAACAAGAATTACCAGCCACAGATGTCTTTTTGCTCTGCACTATTTCTCCGTTCTTTTTCTTTCATGATATCATGTTCTGCAATCCAAGAGTGCACAAAAATGATGACAAATTACACTAGAAGAGGCCAAAGGGGGAAAAAAGGAATCATTAGATTTTAACTACTTTGAAATTAAAGAATAATTATACACAAAGAGAAATATCTAATATTGTTTCTTAATATATAAAACTTCAAAAGTAGCCTTCTTTGTTTTAAATTCCAGCAATGTGCTACATTGTTACTAAAATCATGACTGCAGTCGATAGAAAAGCAAATGATTTTCCTAATACGACAGAAGTACCGAAAAGGACAACATGAAAGGAAGTGTTTTTAGGGATCAAATAAAATTTTTTTGTCATTAGGGGGGGGAAGTTCCAAAAAGCCATTATCGGTATTTAATCCCGTACAATACTTAAGAGGTTGGTTTCTTACGGCGATTGTTTTGCAGGCTTTAGTAAGTATGGTGGTGTCATCGGCAAAGGGTGCAAGATGAACAGAAGGGTCTTTAGGCAAAGAATATGTATTGTATACATAGACTTTTTCGCATGTATTCGTTACTGAGTAACGGGTACATCGTTTGACTCGAAGTACCGATTCGGCAAGGTCTACGGACCTTGAAGTGAGCTAACCTTTTCTTTCTACGGACCTTGGCTCACAGCTATCCCTGTTTTGAGCCGGCAATGGAGTCCTGTGAACTGCGTATCCGGCTCTATCAAACTAGCCCCAATGGCGACATCACGATAAGTCAATCGTCACGTAATTTTTTGCTTTAGGGACGTCTTGCGCATATATATATATATAAAAGATACGGCGAAAGTACCGCCCCCTGAGGGACATCAGCTTTGATTACTCTCGTAGTTGAGAATGCAATTCAAATTTTAATTCTGAAAGTTCTGTTGCTGAGATAAGAGGCTATTAAGCGAATAAAATTATCTGGAAATTTGTGAGTGATTAATATGTAAATGAGGCCGCAATGCTATACCCTGTCAAAAGCCTTCGTGCCTGTAGTCAGGATGTTGCGAGCAATAACCTTACAGCTTGCCTTGTTTCTGCAACCTGTCCATTCTCTTTACATATTTAGGAAGCAATGCCTTGATTCATACAAAAGGTTTTATTGCTTCTCAGTCTGTAGCAGTTCAGCGGAGAAAGTTCCACCCCATCCGCTTTCTATTACCAGACCCTTTTCTTTTTCGGGCTACATAGTTTACCAACGATGGCAACGTGGTCAAAGTAGTTGTGAAAACCGCGGGAAGAAGTTGATGTTCTAAAATTCTATATTCCGTGCTTTCTGTTTCGTTTCTTGGAGTCGTTGTGGTTCAGAGTGATATATGTTAACGAGGAACTGAAATTTTAACATAATGGAAGGTAAGGCTGTTTTCTTTCTCTGGGTTTATTTGGTATAAATTGTACATGCAAAATATTTCGGATATTATTTATGCTAAGGTGTTATGAAATCCATAGCTGAGCTTTCTGAGTACTTGAATAACTGTTCTGTAGTTTCGCCTTCCTCGGAAACTATTATATAAATTTTTTTATGAAGAGATATTTATGGAAAATTTTTGTTGTGGTCAAAAGTGGTTACCATCTTAGCGAAATAGTATTGCAAAGCGATCTTAGCGAAAAATTTTCTTTTTATGTAGCTTTCGCCTGAAAAAAAAAGCATAAAAGTGAAAAGCTGTTTCTCAGTACAAACTGCTGAATAACAAATTATTTTTTTCTTTGATAAAATTTCTTTTGAATTTTTCTTTTGATTTCTTTAATTCCTTTTTTTCTTTTTCTTTAATTTTTTTTTTTTTTTTTTGTAAATTGCTTACATTTAAAATTCTGAGACAGTATGGGGTAAAAAAGCAGTTTTCAGATAACCGGCCCTTGGCGATTTTTGGCGGTACATGGATACCGAGTTTGTGCAATTCTTTGAATTATTATTTTGGTTTGCATAACACCAATTTTTGCTCCAAAAATAGCCGCTACAGAAATCCAAAATAGCAAGACAAAGAATTGCCCAAACTTGGTATCCATGTACACATTGACCTATTTTTCACTTAAAAAAAAACCCCGAATTGCACAAAAATGGCATTGCGCTTTCCCTTGACTTTATCCATGTACATGTTTACCTATTTTCACTTAAAGAAAATCGAAGAATTGCACAAACGTGCATTGTGCACTCCCTTCACTTTGTCCACGTACACATAGATATATTTTCACTTAAAAAGTCAAAGGAGCACCCAATTCTACAATACAGGCAAACAAAAAATACGTAATCTTTATAAACTACATTTTAAACCAGACAATAAAATAACATAAAAAAGGAAATATATGTTATTCATTTAAGCACTACAAAAAGCAAATATTCACTTACCCTATTTATAAGTTCCTTCGTCTTTAGTCTATGGCACGCAAAATTCCTTAACAGCATCCAAAAATTTCCTAACATTATCTGAACTCGGAATCTGTATATCAGGTCGCCACATCCGATCCTTTCTTCCTTCAAACCCATTCAAATTCATCTAAACGGTTTTTACGTTCAACTAGATGCATATCCTTCCTACATACAGACCACTTATGACTACTAAGTAAACCTTCATTTACACACCAGTCAAATAACGCGCTTTTTCCCTTTCGTTCCAAATCGTCAAATTAATCTTACTACATTCAGCCATTCTACAGTCTAAACAATAAAACCAACACACACCATAAATGCGCTTACAAAACATCCCATGATTCAAAATTTCCCAGAATCATACACCGGATTACATCACGATAGGGTTTCTATAACATTCAATTACTCAGGCTACCATATATCAATCAACTTCGCCATAATACAAGGGGTACCTTAAAGTCTACTCTAACCCAGTATGGCTCTTAGCCTGTGCACGCAGCCCATATTTTACTTTTGGATTGTCTAATAATTGTTAACTTAGTAATGTTGTTGAATGTTTCTGTTATATATTAATGGTTTTCCTCTATAAATTGTAGGCTTTCTAATTTTATGTTTTCAGCTGCATGGAACTTTTAAAGAGGAAATCGTGTTTAATTTTTACCTGTTAGTAGTTGTGCTGTAATGTTATAAACTGTAATCTTTATTATGTACATAATGCATATTATGTTTAAATATTTGTTCTTTTGAATTAATCCATCTCAACAAAGTTGAATAGAATAAGAGAATGAGTGATTTCTAGCGTATCTTAACTTATCTAAAAACTGCTGAAAACCAGAGAAGATTTTTCACTTCATGCAGTAAGTATTGAAGATTAAATGATAAAAAGTATTTTTTTCTGGGGGATATAACAATCATTTTTAGCTGTTCTTTATGAAATGAGAGTTGATAATTTATTTATTTAATTTTTAATTTTAACTGTATCACCTGTAAACTACTTCATAGCTTTTTAAGTGAAATTTTTGAATACTGTGCACAATTTCATAAATAAATAAACTTGAAAATGAATAATGAAGAAATGAAATATTTTAACAGTTACTTCTGTGAAATGGTGCTTGACAAAAGTATTTTTATATTCCAAGCTTAAATCATCGTCAACACTTTTTATTAGAGAAACAGTATTTTAGCCTCATTAAGTCTAGTATTCTCAGCAGTTGTGCATATAGCGGGCCTCTTAATTTAGTGCTGCAGCAAGATGTTTTCTTACTTCAGCACTGGAGAAGTTCCTTGAACATTCAAGGAAATATAGGACCTTTGATAGATTACATATAAAAACCTAAGTAATTTAAAATTGATTAAGAAATTCAAGAGTAAAAATTGATTGTATTGTATGTTTCTTTTACACAACTATTAGTTTTGATATCACTTCTATAGTGACTAAAATTTCTTGTATAAAATGCTGTTAGATCATGGCCTTAGCTTTTTACGTAGTTTAATTATATGTATATAAAGGTAAAAATATATTTACGGTTGCCCCTTGGCGGCACATGAACACCAAGTTTGTACAATTCTTCGACTTGCTGTTTTGGCTTTGTGTATCGCTGCTACACAAATCCAAAAGGTTGATCTTTGGATTATGGTAACTTGGCGAAAATTTGGCAACCAACTTTGCTACAGCAACCCTCTGTTTTTTTTTTCCGCTGCCATTTTGTCTTCACGAAGTAAAGACATGTTTCTTTTCTTTTTATTTACTCAACACTTTTTCCAACAATCTACTAGCCGAATTACACTTATGCTAGAAATTTTATGGAACAAAACTCCTTAATCATGACAAATATTAACTGCAAAATTGGGAAAAAGTGCAGAATCGCAAACTCCTTGCCGCGTTTTTCAAAATCGCACATACACAGTAACCATGTACACGTCGACTTATTTTTACTTAAAAAAATTCTTAGCATTCTTAGCAAATTTGTTTGGGTTAGGAGTCGTCTAAAGGATTGGTATAGTCCCAACCACTGAGATCAAATTTTCTTTCACCTAATATATCAATAGCAACTTATATAAACTGACACAGTCCCTCATTGCTACTGATGCTTATTTAGCAGTTATCCACATAAAAGCTAATTTACAGTTATTCTAAATTTTTGAAGGATACTTGTCATTTTCTTCTCTTGTTCCATTCAAAGTTGATTTCAAATCAAAATGAATCACAGAGGCAAGCAAAAATGGGTTACATGAAACACTTGAAACAATTCTGGAATATCGGAAGTACTTTAATAATCCATCAAATCTGTACCACAAGAATTGTACATAAACTCTGTTCACAGGATGGATGCTTATTTGTAAAAAAAATATCTTATGGATATCAGATGTAATTCCAATTTGCTTCAAGTGAAATCAGTTAAGAATAGAAGGAATTAATTCACTGACATTAAACCCTTTTTCAACATAATCATTTAGACTAGTTGATTTTTTCTGCTTTTCTGAAGCATTGAAAACAGGTCTAATTTTTGTAGTGGCAATTTTCTTTCACAGCATGTCTATGGCGCAAATAATAACAGGGTAATTCAGTTTCATTACCTGTAATCTCTTCTATCATTTCCACTTTTATAGTATTTCTCCATAAGCTACATGTAGATTTTCTAATTTTAGACATTTGATTGTATTATTTAATCTTTTAATATCAAAATTATACACTGACTACCAATAAGTATTTGGACACCTATGCAAATGACGATATCTGCGGTCCTAAGGTACGTCACGGTATATATCGTGTAGGAAACAGCATCGGCTTTAGTCGCATGCAAGATGCCTCGCAGTTCGGAGCTCTCTGATTTCGAGAAAGGTATAATTATCAGGTATCACAAATGTGGCTGATCCTTAAGGGACATATCTAGTGATCTGAAGAACCCAAAATCGACAGTGGCCTTTGTGATTAAGAAGTGGAAGGTGAGCGGTGATTGTTGGAATGTGCCCCGAGTCAGCAGACCATCGAAACTGGAGATAGAGACCGACGAGTGCTGTTCAGAGAAATTCAGAAGAACCGCACCCAACCGATGGCACTCATCCGCGAGGAGTTTCAACAGGCATCCGGGAGTATTGTTTCAATGAATACCATACGTAAGAAAGCACATCTGTTTGGTTTTCATGGTCGGGCTGTTGCCGATAAGCTTTTGATAACAAAGTTCAATCGCACTGCTTGGTTAATGTGATGCAAAGCACATCGAAATTGGACCGTGGATCAGTGGAAACGGTTTCTTTGGAGTGAGGAATCAAGGTTCACCCTTTACCGTTCGGATGGCAGGGTCTGGGTCTGGCGTCTACCTGGAGAACGTCTCCTGCCAGAATGCATTGTGCTAACAGTCAAGTTCGGCGGCTGTGGAATTATGGTCTGGGGGTGTTTTTCCTGGTATGGGCTGGGACCCTTGGTCCCCATTCATGGTAAGCTCAACTCCGATGCCTAATGCACTATTTTGGATGACAATGTGCTTCCTACGTTGTGGCAGTTTTACGGGTTGGACCCCTGTTACTTTCAGGATGACAATGCCAGTTGTCATGTTTCGACGTTAACCAAGGCTTGGTATGGTGCCAATAAAGTTCATCGAATGGACTGGCCTGCCCAGAGTCCAGACCTGAACCCTATCGAGAACCTCTGGGATGAGTTGCATCGCCGAATTCAGGGGTGCACTACCCGTGCAAAATCGGTGAAGGAACTTCTATGTCTTCTCCAAGCTGAGTGGAAGAAAATACCACTAGCTGTCATACAAAGATTTGTGGAAAGTATGCCCCGGAGGATCCATGCTGTAATTACCTCTCGTGGAGGCTCTACCAACTATTGATTTTGAATAAAGTTAGTTTTTCTTTTCTATCACAGGTGTCCAAATACTTATTGCTAGTCAGTGTATTATAAGGGTGCATGGTTTTGGGCCATGGTAAGTTTATATGAAAGCGACCTACATCATGCATTCTAATTCTGTTTCAGAAATGT